GTCCGGGGGGGGCAAAAACGAGCAAAAAACTGCCAGTTTTTCATAAAAATGGGCCTGGTTTTTGTCAAACAGATTGCATGCATAGTCTTATGGAGGCTTATAGAGTTTTTTGCTCATTTCTGCCGTCCCCATCCCCCAGGAGCTCTCTGAAAGCCTCCATAAGGTATGCACAGCCATTTTGGTGAAGGGGCAGGGCTTCAGGAGGCAAAAAATGCTGTATTCAGTGTATAAGAGACACCCAGATTTTCAGCCTCTTTTTTGAGGGAAAAGGGTGCGTCTTATACTCTGAAAAATATGGTAATTTTCACCAACATTTCCCTATCCAATTCCTGCCAGAGGTCACCTACAAGTGTGATAGATATGGGTCAGTGCTATGCAGAAGCCTGAACCCGCATTGAAAAAGATCTAGATAATCCATTTCTTCCAGAACCTCCCAGAATTTTACCTATTTTTGCCATTTTAATTCTGCTGTTATTTCTAATTATTCTAGTTGTAACATGTAGTTGCAACATTTTTAATTCTGCCTTTAAAAGTGTGTGCATGTGTGCACCTTTATTTCAACTTTTTTTGATACATACTAATAGAAGGCAAAATATAATTACTGTAGTAAATTCTAATCACATTTGCTGCTTAAAATTGAAACTGCCAGAAGGAGAGTTCATTGAGTATAATGGTGTTTAAATAAGAACTAGGAAAACAAGAAGGTAATAGTAGCTGCACACAGAAGATGATAGTGGCCACAACAGAATAATTAGTCAATATTGTTTGTGCCTGACTTGAGAGGGAAACAGTGCCTTCTGCCTAATATGGATTTATGCATGCCAATAGAAAGGGATAAGCCTTCTGCCTAATTTTGCTTTGTGGTTCTAATTATTTTTTTTATTAATAATTTTTTTAACAGTGGAGTGGTAGAGTACGATGCTGAGGGTTTCACAAAACTCACTTTGCTGCTGATGTGGAAAGATTTTTGCTTTCTTGTTCACAGTGAGTAGTTATTTTCCTTTGGGTAGAAATATCTACCTGTAACTGCTTCAAAATTTAAACAAAAATTAACACAGAAGTACCAAATACAGCAACATTTGCATCTCCCCCCCAAAAAAATATGTCGTGCGTTTTCTGCATTCTTCATATTTGTGTAATGTCACCTGAAATCTCAAAAAGGTCATACAATTTGTTAGATCATTTGTTCTTTTTAAATTATGTAGGATACAAGATGCTTAAAAATCACAGACAGGAAAACATATTGGAGTATGCCTGATGTGCATATGTCAAGAGAAAGTTACTAAGACATACTAGGAATATGTAGGAGATAGTTAGATATACGTAGATAAATGGATGTGGCTATAAATATATACAGTATATACTCTAGATTTAGATCTAGATCTTTGTATACTGAACTTATATATATGATGTTTAGACATTATCTCTGAGAAGTTGTTATGCGTGAGAAATCCAACACCTTTTTCATTCAGTACCATCTAATGGAACATAGAAAATTAGCCTTCTGAGTTGCAACTCTGGACTATCCCCTCCAAGATCTTTATAGCTCATACCCTGAGGCTGTTCAAAAAGTCATTGCAATTTTAGCTGCTCTTCAGAGCCTTGAGTAACTTGGTGGTTGAGACACTGTACAAATTGTTATTGTTATAGAGAGTTTGTCTTCTGGATGCTTATGATTTTTTAAAAAAATACTTGTTTTAATACATACAGACACACACCCACACACACCACCCAGAGTTATTTTATAATCTTAATTGCATTAAATAAATAAATGTATGCAAATAGCTATACTCTCCTGTAACAATTGCTCTGCCTCTGGTCTTCAAATCCTTTCTGCCTTCTCATCTGCATCAGTGGTACCAATGACATCAAGAAGACCATCATTAGAAGAAGGTGTCTCCTAACTGGCCTGCATTGTTTATTTTCTCCCAGGTTTCTTATCAATGTGAGACACTTGTTTATCCTAATTATTTATTTTTCAAAGTTGTGAGTCGCTTTGAGTTCTTTGTCAATAGTATACCACATAAATCCTATTAGTCAATAACTGTCATGGTACTGTAGTTTGGAATAATTTTGAATAGTTTCATTTTCTGTTCATAAGTAAATTCTTACAGAAAGGTTTCAAACCTTAGTAGATCTGTAAGTTAAAGGGCCTGAAATAGTGCAGCTAAATCAGTGGTGGGATTCAAAATATTTTACAATCGGTTCTCTGGGTCTGGCTTTGTGGGTCTGGCGTGGCTTTGTGGGTGTGGCAAAGGAAAGTTACTGCAAAATCCCCATTCCCTTCCCACTCCACTAACCTACTTTCCAGCTCCATTCTCCTGTTCAGGGCAACAAAAGAAGATAAGCTGGGAGGCAGTGGGAGCGGGGCTAGTCTATTTGCCAGTTCTCCAAACTACTCAAAATTTTCGCTACCAGTTCTCTAGAACCTGTCAGAACTGGCTGAATACCACCTCTGAGCTAAATAGTCCTGAAATACAGTATCAGGTAGCAAATGATTCTGTGATAGATGAGGTTTTCCACTGAGACTTGAATCCTTATAGTCTTGGAGATCACCATATTCATTGGCAGTGTTTTATATGTTAATTGTTTCCAGTACCAGTATTGAAGCTTATTGAGAATACGCTTTCAGCAAAGTATGTTTTACAAGATAATTTTGTAACAGAGGATTACTGTTCTTCTTTATTACTGTCAAAATTCTTCTACATAGTTTATAATCCTAATTCCCACTATACAAATTATTCAAATGCAACAATTTATTATTTGAATTTATGAGCAGTAATAACTCTTATTCTAGTTCAGACCTGCATATTTTATGGCCCCTGGGTCACCTCCAGCCCTTTTGCTTCTCCAGTTTGTGGCGGGAAGGAGGGACTCCACAACAGTCCCAGTTTCTCATGTGGGTCCCTGCAAAAACTAAGTGCCCATCCCTGATCTAGCTCATCTACTTTTTGTCTTTGTTGCTTCAGAAAGCAGACGATTAGAAGATTTTCCTTACCATATACCATAGTGTATAAACTTCTTTTAAAACTTCACTTCTTGAATTTGGAATATTAGGACCGAAAACGTCATGAGTTGTCCTTTCTAATAAAAATGAATTAGGAGAAAGGAAGCACACTTGAGACTTGTTAGCGCAGTTTATAGTCAGCCAACTCTTTAGTTAGTATATCTTCAAGAGATTGACTGAATCTGTCCTCATCTTCTAGGTTTCTTAGCTGGGATTTTCTTTTATTTATATAGCAATGCAGAAAAAAAAATTATATACATAGTAGTTTATTTCTGCATAAAGAATTTTGAATTTTGAAAGCATTCAAATAGTTTCTCATTAAACTTGAAATTACTGTGCTCCAGGAAAGTAAACAATCAGTATTTAATTATCCATGTTTTTAAAATCTAAATAATATTTTGTCTTTCTATTTAATTAATTCTAAAGTTAATAATTTATTGAGATAAATTATTACAATTGAATTGTCGCCACTAATTAATTTACTCCAACTAGCTGATGCATTACTAGCTTTGTTGAATAACCCAAGGGAAACTATATTGAGTTATGAAAAATAATGCAAATAAAACCACTGAAACATATATCATCTTTTTCGCACTATAAGATGCACCGGACCATAAGATGCACATTAGCTTTAGAGGAGGAAAACAAAGGGGAGGGAGCAATTTGCCTATGCCTCCCAGCATCCATCCGGTATTCATGTGGCTAGCGTCATTGCAGTAAACAGCAAACAGCTTCAGCACATTATTGCAGCCCCAGCATGTTGCTTGACAGGGCTCCATTCTGTTGCGCCCACCATTGATCAACTGAGCTGAGCTCCTGCCGCTGGCAGGGAAAAATGGAGTTTTCGCTACCAAATAGTTGATTGGCGGTTGGATCCTGGAATACTGCCAGTCAGCTGTTCTAGGCGATGAGGATTGTCACCATTGCCGATCGCTGCTGCTGAGCACCACAGATTTTTCAAAGGATGGAGGACAGTTGGAATCACCCTACGTGACCAGTTTCTGTTAATTGATAGTGGTCTCTGAATACCAGCTAGTCTCTTCGAAAGAATGTTGTTCTAGGGCATATGGCTTGAGCCAATCATACAAAAGAATTTGGCTGTTCTTGAAGTTCATTAGCATTCAGTCCGTATTTGTTAATAGTTTGGTGTAATTCCCTGCTTATGGTACCCTAAAAGTTAAAAGACTCATTGCAGTTCTCTGGATAGCTTGAATGTTTTGTATGATGGAGAAAAATAAAATTTAGTCAATTATGGCTGACAGTTGTAGCATAGTTTTATTATGGGCTCTAGTAATAAAAACATTCTTCAAAAAGGGTTTATTCTATCAGGACATGTTTCTTACATTTCCTCTTCTAGCTGTTAATCTGATTTAAATTTAATTATGGAATTAACATAAGTCATACATGGTTTTTATAATGAATGTGGTAATGGAATGTGGAAATTTCAGATAATATCATACTGTTTTATCCATTCTGTAGTTGAAGTGAACTGTGTGTAAATTATTAACCTAACAATAATTTTCAAAGTAATGTTCTAGTTGAGAAAACAATTGTATTAATGTCACTGAGTCAAGAATTTCTTATAAATTTCTGAATGCTAATGCAAACATTCACTTTCATGGGAAAATATTTAACAAATTATGCTTGGTTCACTTGTGTTTTTTTATTATTTGATGAATGTCTTTATTATTTGATGAATATCTTGATTTCAGCAGAATCTGTAAGAGCTAGTCATCTGGTTCATATGCAGAACAATGGTACAATATATGAGTATATAACTTTCAGTATAAAGCTGATTTTCATAAACATTCGTCCACAAATCCCGGCTTCTTTGAAGAGCCAAACCCATTTGTGTTGTCCTATAAATAAAATAGTCATTCCAATCCATCCTTCTGAGAGTGTTTTGGACTGTTTTAGTCATGTAGAGCAGTGGTCTCCAACCACTGTTGAAGTCCACAAGTCTTAAAGTTCCCAAGGTTGGAAACCACTGATGTAGAGGGTAATGTTCCAAAACTTTTTTTTTTTTTTTGCTCTATTTCAGTTTGGTTTGGTGTGATTTTCTGAATGATCTTCGCTACACATTCTGAACAATGTGTACAACCCCAATAGATACATTACAAATAGATACATACCTATTTAATAGGTTCATTACAAAAAAAATCAACCCATCTTGTTATAAATTTAAGCACAGAGAAAGCAGCATACTAAAATCTGCATGTAGTCACACAAATACATAAACTGTCTGTCTGTATGTCTGTGTGTGTGTGTATCTATCTATCTATCTATCTATCTATCTATCTATCTATCTATCTATCTATCTATCTATCTATCTATCCTCCACTTAAAAAAAATAAGACCTCCATGAAAATAAGCCCGAGTGCATATTTTCAAGCCCAAAAGAAAATATTATTTTCGGGGGAACATGGTATACAAACAAATAACTTCTGGAGTAAATTTAAAGTTATTTCCTTGTTAGCAGTTAGTTTTCCACAGCTGTTCTTAGTGGAAGGAATCCTAAAACCTATTTTTTGTTCAATTGTAGCTTCCGCTGAGTGACTCCTTCACATATTTGTAGCATACCAACACCCATTTACAATACAATAGTGGAGTTGGAAGGGACCTTGGAGGTCTTCTAGTCCACCCCCCTGCCTAGGCAGGAAACCCTATATCGTTTCAGACAGATGGCTATCCAACATCTTCTTAAAGACTTCCGGTGTTGGGGCATTCACAACTTCTGGAGGCAAGCTGTTCCATTGATTAATTCTTCTAACTGACAGGAAATTTCTCCTCAGTTCTAAGTTGCTTCTCTCCTTGATTAGTTTCCACCCATTGCTTCTTGTTCTACCCTCAGGTGCCTTGGAGAATAGTTTGACCCCTCTTCTTTGTGGCAACCCCTGAGATATTGGAACGCTGCTATCATGTCTCCTCCTAGTCCTTTTTTTTCCTTAAACTAGACATACCCATTTCCTGCAACTGT